AGGTGGGATGTTTACTTTGAGCATGGATAATACAAAGAGTACTGTAAACCTTTTCTATGCTGACAAAATGAGTAACTTGAACCTGTATAATCAAATATCAAGTAATCAGTTCACCCTCATCATACCAAATTTCTAAAATCATAATATATTTTGTCATTGTCTTTTCTAAAAATGCGATATTTAAAATATATGCATCCTTCATACGGAAACAAAATATATTCCACTCGTTACTGAATATTTCCATTCTGCAATATGCAATTCATCATTTATATATGACAGTTAAAATGATTTTCGGTTCATATGAAACATAGAGCTATAATTATTTGAATGAGACAATTAACACGGTAGATTGTTTGAATTATTATACATGTTCTGGGGAAATGTAATGAATTAAATAGACGTGAAAAATATGAAATATGAAAGTTTGGAAATGCTTTTCGAACTTTTGCAGATTTACTTGGAAAATGGGGGTATATTAAGTGTTGTACTATCTAATAACTAGTTTATATTCAGAAGAAAAAAAATTGATGGATATAAAGGTGATCATGCGAGATATATAAATTGAATCATTCTTGTGGAGAAAGTAGAAAATTGTATCAGAAAATACATTTCCACATGATGAATCATTTCCTACCTATTTCACCCAATCTACCCATTAGAATAATCATTCAGAAATATAGAAAATTTCATAAACACCGTGAAAATTTCATAGAACCTTTCATCATTTATTATGCTTCACACTGATCATTCTTCAAAAACTCTCAAAGTTTGTCTGACAGACAAATCCTAAATGTATGAACTCAGTTCATGAAAACACACTTCATATAAGAAAATGAATATTCCAANAAATCCTAAATGTATGAACTCAGTTCATGAAAACACACTTCATATAAGAAAATGAATATTCCAAAACATTCATTCCCACCGGCGTACCTACTCAGCAGGTTCTCGTGAAAATCTGCCGGAAAACAACTATCTTTCCGGCTTGGGATTCGAGGAAGTCGAAGAAGGCTGTTTTTGCCTGATCCTGTTTGGCAAAGGTTGTACCGGTGGGGAAGTTATCGAAGTGTTCGAAAAGAGGGTAGTCAATTGGCGAGAGGTCTGGAAAGTATGGTGGGTGACGCAGAACCCTCAGTCTGTTCAATTTTCGGACGGTGATTCATGAAACGTGCGGACGGCAGTTGTCGTGAATCAGGATCGGACCTCTTCTGTTGACAAGTTCCAGCTGCTGCCGAAGCAATTTCCGGTACATTTCGTCCCTTTTAGAATAGGATAGGATAGGATAGGATAGGATAGGATAGGATAGGATAGTATAGGATAGGATAGGATAGGATAGGATAGGATAAGATATGATAGGATAGGATAGGATAGGATAGGATAGGATAGGATAGGATAGGATAGGATAGGATAGGATAGGATAGGATAGGATAGGATAGGATAGGAAATAGAATAGAATAGAATAGAATAGAATAGAATGTGTTCAGCGACAACTAGATATAAAAAAACTACCATTGCAGAAAAAACTAACAGTGTCGTCCATTCCAAAACATTTACTACTGATAAAATAGATTTCACAAATCTTGGAGATCTGCGACAGAGAATTATTCGGAAATGCCGATTTCTGACTCCGGACATCTTCAATAAATAATCTAAGGAACGCTTTCAGGAGTAGACTGTATTATCGTATGGAACTAGATGGAGGTCATTTTGAACATTTTATCCGTTGATTGTGTTGCCATTGATATTACTTATGCTGATTTCCCCAATGAAATGGGCAAACATTCAATTTCTCAATAACAGATGAACCAATTTCGAAAAAAATTACAAAAGTAATAAAATGACAAAAGACCTTTCAAACGGTGTATCAATCGATCCCCCACACCATTAACAAAGTAGGGGGATAGTTGCTGACCGCAGAGTGTTGAAGGTTTGGGTATGATTTCCATACCAGAATTAGTCCTCCCTAGAAATAAGTATTGACGTGGACGATTACACGTTCGTTTCTGACTTATAGGTGGGTCAAGTTTTCGTTGGAACTTTCTGTGATGATAATAGTCATTCATTTCCTCAAGACAGTTACAAACCATATGGAAAAAGTCACTTGTTTACATTCAAAATACAATAATACTGATACTAAAAAATTGATTCCACCGCAAATTGTCACGACAAATAGTCATCCAGTTTATAATAATACTGTTCTGTCAAAAAGGATTATAAATTATATTTGAATTATTGTTTTGTCATGCAGTGTCTCACATTTGAAGGAAGAGCATTGTATATTCTAGGAGCCATACGACTGGGAGATTGGTGAGTTATTTTGAATTTTCCGAATGGAATTGAAAAATCATTCTTCTGTCTTGTATTGAAACTATAGTTTTTGTTTGTTCCTCACATAAATTTCATCATTATTGTCGAATACTAGCATACTCAACTCTGATATGACTAGACTTGGTAATGTTAATATTTTCAGTCTCTTGAATATCTTTGCATAAATCAGTCTGTGGAAGCCCCGTCATTGATCGTAAAATTCGTTTTTGTGACACGAAGATATCTTTTGCTAGGGTAGATAAACCCCAAAATACCACACCGTATCGTAGCCTACTTTCAACTTGTGCATAGTAGAGCTATATCAATTGATCAATATTGAGTACATGCAGCAAATTTCTTCCAATTGAGATTTTTATCTATTCGTAATCCTAAGAAAATTGTTTGATCCGAACTAGTTGAGGTCGATGGACTCGATTCGTTTGATTGGAATGACAACTAATTACATTATTTTTGGATATGGTGAAACCTCAGTGCTTGCAATTTCGAAGTATTTAAAAACAAGTGATTTGCTGAAAACCATCCATTCAAAGAAGTCAACACTTCATTGCGTTTATCACGCAAGGAAGGGTCCATTTTATCAGATATGAATAACTAGATATCATCAGCGTACTTTGTGAAGGATGCTGGTACAGAAAGTTTATCCGAATCATTAATTTAGAACAGGAACAGAATTGGCCCCAATATGGACCCCTGAGGGAAACCAATATCTGTTTCAGTTCGCTGTGAGAAATGAGTGTTGATGGCTACATATTGTGTACATTTGAGTATGAATGATTTTTTCCAATCTAGAGGACAGCCTCTAATACCATACTTATACAGCTTTTCCAGTAGTATGTCGTGATTGATACAGTCAAATGCCCTGCTGAGGTCACAAAAGATTTCAACAGGGCTTTGTTGTGCCTCAATATATTCTATTATTTTTTGATAATAAGAAAACACCGCAGTCTTCGTAGATTTTTTGTTCAAATATCCATGTTGGTTCCTCGACATTATATTATATTCATGACAAAATGACATTAATCTATATCAAATCTGAACAACTTTTCTGAAAAACATTTTCCGAGATTTTTCAAAATAAGTAAACTTTGCTCTTGTCTCAAAATCAAATATTTGAAGGCTCCTCGTATATCACGTGTGTTTTACTGTATTTTGTTGGTGTATGTTCCGTTTTAGGGGAAGCACAAACTTTTATCAGGAGTAACATTTTGTCGAAAAATCCTTAATAAAGTTTCCCATATGGTGCATACTTTGGAGATGATACTGTATATGTTCACTGTATATGTTAAACCTTCATCTGACAGAAATATTGTTAACTAGTACCAGCTCCATCTGGTTTTTCACCACTTGGGACTTTGTTGACGAAATAGAGCTGTTACCAGTTACTTTCCTTTCTCTTAGACATGCAGTGGAGCCGCTTTGTAATCAAGCGAGTCTCAATCACATTCACATTCGCTCCTATCAACAGACTGAGAGACTATAGTACAGGGTCCATTCAAAAAATGGAGCGAATTTTAATTTTTCTCGCGAAATATTTATTCATCAACTTCTATTTTCCCCTTCCAATCGAAGTTTAGCCAGTAAACCCCCCATAACAATTTTTTTTCACTTTGTCAACATTTTCATCAGTTCTTTATATGCCCTGAAAGAACCAATACGACTAAAAATTAAAATGAGTAGCCAAAAATAATCATATTAAGCAAAAATGCCCTAAAATAAAATTACACCAAAAGAATAGAAGCAAAAAATTTAAAATTGAACAATTAACCAAAAAAAGGGAAATGAAAATTGAAAGATTTCAAACCAAGTTACTTCACGATGATTCGATTTTTAGTGTTCACAATCATCTTCACAATCTTCATTCTTTTTATTTATTTATTCATTTACAGTCGCTTCGACCTCTAGGGTCATTAGCGACTTGTCGATATAATGTGAGAAATGAGTGTTGATGGCTACATATTGTGTACATTTGAGTATGAATGATTTTTTCCAATCTAGAGGACAGCCTCTAATACCATACTTATACAGCTTTTCCAGTAGTATGTCGTGATTGATACAGTCAAATGCCCTGCTGAGGTCACAAAAGATTTCAACAGGGCTTTGTTGTGCCTCAATATATTCTATTATTTTTTGATAATAAGAAAACACCGCAGTCTTCGTAGATTTTTTGTTCAAATATCCATGTTGGTTCCTCGACATTATATTATATTCATGACAAAATGACATTAATCTATGTAAAAAACAATACTCGAATACTTTGGAAGCTACAATATGGAGCTACTAAAACACATAACATTGAAACGGACAAAACTTTTGAAACAACCTAATACTTGATCCAACCCTCCAAAATATGGTTTCGATTACTTTTTTCGAGTCTTTTTCCAGTATAAGACTCACCTTTGGATCCAACATACTCATCATCAGAAGTTGGTTAATTTTTCAGCTCTCAAAATTAGTGAGTAATATTTTTTTCCTGCACGGTTTTTAAACCTCAATTTCGAACGATAAAATTGCAGATATTATATTCTCAACTACCATTTTAGGAGTGTAGAATGATTCAGATGTGAACTATAATTGATAGTTACTGAACATAGTCGACAAGATACATTTAACTAAAGTTTTTTCAAAAATTCCAACAAGCTACTACAAAATAAGTTTATTTCATATCAGAGTACTTCATAAATATCTGTATAAATATAAAATGTACAAACATTCAAGAGCACCACCTACGTCACACGCCGATGCTAGATAACGGACCATCCTCTAACAAAATCTATTTTACAAGTCTATGAACACCATCAACAACATTTAAAAAACTAACATCTTGGTTAAGCCACTAACTGGTTATAAAAACACGTAGAACAACAACGACAGCTATGACGAATCAGTCACATGTTTTCAGTCTATCTCCAAAACTGAGCAAAGATTATGGTCGTGGTAGGCACTGTCAGGTTTCAGCAGAAGCGCACGCTGGATCCATGCCGGTGAATGACTGGGTGGCGAGCATTTTCAATTTCTCGAGGTTTCTCTGTCGGTCTCGCCCTCGGGAGGGTTATTCGGCAGTTTCACACTCGATGAGTGTCTATAGTCTGCCCGACGGCGATGATAATGATGATGAAAACGGCTAGGAGTACGAGTATGCAGCAAATAGCGATTGCGACCACCATAGCAGGGCACTGAAATGTACTGATGAAAGGGCAGGCGTACAGGCCGTGGAGGGTTTTTCTTTTGAGGCTTGCGCCCGTCGCAGGGGTTGCGACGTTGCCGAACTTTCGATTTCCCTCGCGCCACGTCCGATGCTCGTTGATTTAATCAAAGTTCAGATTCCGATGATATATCGTTGTTTTTCGAGAGGAATGAAGAGATATGGACTCTCCGTGATATACTCCGAAAGAAATGGAAATTTCATCCACTGTACGAGGGATGTGATTCAGTGCCGTGGGGGAGAGTGGGGTCAATTGTAACAATTTTGACAACGTACGATTTTGCTCGCAAATTAAATATTATATTTTGATCAAACGATCAAACTAATAGAATAAGTATTCTATATTAAGGTTAAAATATGTATTCAACTGAAATCAAACACTTTTTGAATTTAACACGTCTATTATGTATTTGTGTCAAATGTTACAATTGTACCCATAAGGGGGTCAGTTGTAACAGCTTTAGGGACAATTGTAACGCAATAGAAAATGTCAATAAAAAA